CAACAACAGAATCAGCTCTTCTGCTGTCACACAGTTTCTGTGTTCTTCAGATGCACTAAAGCAGAAGAGCAACAAGAACATGAGTTTCCCAGCTTAGAAGCCATTGGGATTCACTGACTCAAATCATACAGGGAGTGTTACAAGTGGAAACAGACACTGTGCGTTATTTAACCGCACCTGAGTAACTGAATGATGCCTGGCAGTTGTTTTTATTAGTTAATTAGTTTACTGGACAAGAGTTACTCACGTTGTCCTGTTCTACAGAATTGCAGTAGAAAGCATTAAACAGGTTAAGGAATACTTAACATAGAGTGATACTTATCAAAGGAAAGAAAACTCTCTTCCACAAAAGCATATGGCAAGGGGAAGAGGGAAGAAAAGAGAAGACTAAGCTGAGTGCATGTCAGCTACTGACTGGTGCCTCCAATTTGACCAAGTCTGAGGTTTCCAAACCACCTTGTGCATTATTTCCAGGAACATGAGAATTGAAGAATGAGCAGCAGAAACCTTGAGAAACAGTTAAAAGTTATCTGTGTAAGCAGATACACACAACCATGTACAAAGGGGAAACTGTCCTCCATATACTCATCTTCTGTCTCAGTTGCCATACCCTTTTCTCAGTTCTTGACAAACACAAGTGATGCTCTAATACGCAGAACTGCTGCACAGATCATTTCCAGCTTTGCCACTCTGACCACAATACTTTTCTCTCCGTTCCCTCTATTGTGCTTCTTTTTATCACATCACATACCTGCAACATGCCCTCACTTTCAAGCCCACCATGCTCTGCTTGTCCTAAATCTCAGAGAGAGCATTTCTCTCCTCCTGTTGATCAGCATGGCTCGATCACCTTCCACTATTATTTTAAACATGTACTTTTTCATATGTCCATTTAGCTTTGGAACAGGCTCACAAAAAACATCCACAAAGCCATTTCAGTTTTTCCTAGGCTTTCTTTTTCCTTGGTTCTGAAGAAAGTGCAAATTGTTGGTGGAAGGTAGGCTGAAAGTGGTCAGTTGCAACTTCCCTGTATCTATATGCAGCCTCTTTTCTACTTACACAGCTCTCTGGGACAGAGATTATGTTTCTATTTCTGCTTATAAAGGGCAAATGTACCAGGTTTTCTGATCCACAGGAGCTGTGAACCACTTAAGTAATAGAAAACATAGTCACAACACGAAGGGGATGTGAGCCTATACTGGTGTTTTGGCTGTAACATCCCTGTAGCTCACGCAGCTCACACAACAGTTGAACTCCCAGTTATCGCATGGGTAACAGGGACCCCCCACACACACAGCCCGTGACAGCAGCAGACAGGACCTTCCCCATGCAGCAGACCTGTGCAAATGCTTCTTATCCCCTCTGTGCAGAGCAACTGCATGTTGATTGGTTTATATTATTTGAGTTTCTAAATTAAACCTCTTACCAGCAAGCTAGAAGCCAACAAAAGCCACTAGTTAGTTTTCACGTTAATTACAGTGTCAGGAGAAATGGCAATTACTAGAAATGGTAATTACTAATTTAATCTAGGCAGCTCTGCTGGAGCAGGAAATCTGTGCAGCCTGCAACACACCTCCAGGGGAAGGCATTCTTCTCTCACTTTCTGCCTTTGTTTTTTGCTCCCCACCCATGTCAAATTATGTCCTTTATTTTCAGTAACATCCATCCTCATTATTGCCATGGTGGGCAGCACAATCATGACAAGATGCCTTCCCTGTCCTCCAGCTGCAGCCTTCTACTGAGACTTGAAAATTCCAGTGCACCAAGCCAGACACGTGCCACCTCTTCACAGTCCCACTGCCTGCAGCTGGGTGTGTTTTCCAAACATACTTAACAGCCAAACATCCAACATTAATAGCTGCTACTATGCAAAAACTGTGTTTTAAACCAGTGGGGACATGAATAAAATGCAACTCCAGAGAAGGAACTTTTCAATGTTCCATCCGACACAAGATCAAAAAAAAATAAGAAAGGGGTGGGGAATGATTGCTCTTTCACTCTTTTTTGTTCTCCAAAGTATGGAAAGCCTGCTGGAAAGCTCTATACAAATTACAAACAGGTCAAATTCTGCTCTCAAAGATACATATACGACATTTACTAACATGAACCAGAGCTGCACAGAAATAGCTGAGGGTACAGTTGAGATCAGAGTATTTAGGTTTTTATATTAACTGAAATAAGTAATCCTCAAATCTACATGAAAGGCACAACAGGCCAGTAAGCATCCAATTAAGACAATCCAATTTAACATTCATGGAAACAAAGAATTCTCATTTCATGAGTTCAGTCTATTCTTAAACCTAGATATTATTCATAGATATGCTTCCCAGATATTATTGTGCTATACAGTCTACGATCAGATACAGTCACCAAATCCCAGAAACACCCATGATCTAAAATGGGAAGCTGAAGCTGGAGTTTCACTAGAGATACAATCTCTGGAGTCTTTTGGCTTTTATGGCCTTTGAAAACAAATGCAGGTACAAACAGCTGAAGGATTCTGATGACAGAATATACATCTTAAGAGCTGCACACATCAGCCTTTTACATTAAATTTGTAGGTAAATGCAATTATTCAAATATTCAATTTGTAGACTAATATAGAGTGACTGGAATGCATCTATCCCAGCATCTTCATTTTTTACATTCTTTGAATTAATCTTTATTTACATGCAAGAGAATCCAGAGTAAAATTCACCTGCTCTGTGTTCATATGAAGATATAACACAATTTTCATGCAGGGAGCCAACATGATTCCAAACCAATATTTTTTATAAAGTTTCTCCTTTGTATTTCAGCTAAGAATATTTGCAGTGCTGAGAAAGAAGCACCACTTCTTTGGCAACTAAGTTCAGATTCTGTAGTAGCAAGGACAATTGAAAAATTAAGACAGTCTTTGCTAAAACTGCATCAATCTCTGCTATACACACTTAACCAGACTTACTTGGACTAAAGCAATTCCTCTCTAAAGGGCAACATATAGTGTGAAACATCATTTGAGATATTTTGCTCACAAGGTACTTGAGATGTTACGCACAGTGCAAAGGCTTTTGGGAGCACATTCCCTGCACCGCACTAAGCTCAGCTACTCTTGAAATTCTTTCCTGGTGAATTATGGTAAAACTGGAGTACACTGGGAAAACACAGCAAAGACAGCGGAGGACTATACAGGATGCTCACTGACGCCAGGTTGCATCCAGAACTGAAGAACAGTCACATTTTCAGCTGAGCTATCCTAATCCAAATACTATTTGATGAGGTGGCAAGCTCAGGTTAACAGCATTACTGTATAGGATTTAAAGGGATTTTTGCAAGGAGGACTCAAATTGTTGCTAAAGTGAAATAGTCTTAAGATATGGGTAATCTAAGTTGTCCAAGAATATACTTGCTTTCAGCCTTTCAGCATTAGAATTTACTTTATTTATCTGCTTTCACCAAATGACAAGGGAACTTAGTATTTTTCTAGGACAGACCTGAGAAAGGAAAAAGAAATATATTTCAAAGGGTGAGATTATTGCAGAATCAGTATTGGAACTATCGGCTCTGAAATAATTGTTTAAAATGAAGCCAGTTTCTGCCTCAAGAACTCACAGGCAGAGAAGATGGATTAAATATATCACTTTCATTGTACAGCACAATTGTATGACATCCAATCAAAGTAAACAGCACATGCATTTATTTTCAATTGCTGCCTTTCAAATGGATAAAACTATGAAAAGAATAAAACCCAAATCTTCATTTAAAAAAGATTGTAAAATCCTCGTGAACTACTAATGAAGCAGGCTAGTGAAATTCCCCTTCCTGCCATTTGCGCCAAGGCATTTGTTAGAACAGCTATGCTGACTTGGTAAATACCACGTACCTGCAGCAGAGGAAGCAAAGAACAAACTGTAACAGAAAGATTTTGTAATACCTTCTGCAATAAATACCTTGATCTTTATCATGTGAGGGCCTGACTGGAAAAGACTTTTGGAAGAGACTTCTTGATAAAGAATGAAGTTCCCCTGCTGTCTTGGCACTGGTAGTATTTTTATATATATACACAAACATGTGTGTATGTACACACACGTATACACAAACATACACATTTTATACTGATGATAACTGTCAGGAATAAAAGAAAAGAATAATATAATAAAAAATAAAAAAAAGGGCCAAAAGACCTAACCTATGCAGAAGCTCTATGGTCTATGCCATGAAGAGCAGCCCTGTCATGACTAATTTCCTGGTTGACAGCTTGTAAGAGGATGAAAGCCGTGTTGCAGAGGTAATCTCTGGTGTTCCAGCAATTAGCATGCACAAATATTAACGTGGTTGGTTAAGGAATGATGATTACTTTGTTCATGACTCCCTGGAGGGCTACCCAGAGAAGGGAAATAAGGCAACTTGCAGCAATGGAAGGAGAAAAAAAGGCAGAGTCTGATGCCTAGCACTGATGTGACGTTGGCCACCTAATTATGACCAGAACTGGATTGTGAGCTAAGATTTTGCTCCAATTCAACTGCAAGAGTCAGTAGATTCTTCTCTTTAGGTTTCAGACGCACAGGAGAGCATGTCTGCTATACTGCTGCTCATGATATCCTTCACTTACCTTCCAAAAACTGTATGCTTCTTGTCCAGATATGCACAAGAGCGGAATGTGATGAAGCTGGAAGGAATAAAAACATAACAGTTAGCATATTGTCTCATTGATACTCAACAACAGCCGATAAAGCTTAAAACCAGAAAGTGTATGCAAAACCTCTCTGAGAGAAGAAAAGCCCTTCTCCCTCTCTGTCTCCTCTCTGGGAGGCCCACTGGCCAAACATCCTTTAACTCCTCTCTTTCACGCATTTTGTCTTGGATTTCTGGAGTTTTGACATCCTATTTTTACACCTTACTAACACCCCTAAACAGTACTCCAAGCAAGTACTCCCCGGGAAGCTCATACAGGACAGGGAGAAGTGCATGCTGTTTGAGAACTATATTTCTCGTGCATGACTGGGAGCTTGTATCCAGCAAATACAGCTATATAAACACAACAGCCTCTGCCAGTGTAAACTTCTGTCTTTTAGGATATTTACTTTTTGCATTTCTCTTCCATTAAATTGGCCTGTCAGTGATCCATTTCTCATCTGGACAGAGCGAATTTGTGCTTTGGATACAAATGTGGCAGAAGAATACTTCAAAGCGTCAAAAGTAATGAAAACCTGTGAAACTTGGATTTTTAATTTTCAATTAATTGGACTTTTAATTTTGGGGGTTGTAATTTTAAACTTAAACATGGGAACTAAAATACGAAATCTAAAGCAACCTTCATGACTAAAACTTTTCTCTAAAGCTTAATGCTTCTTTGGAAGACTTGGACTATGAGCATATGAGACATAGAGGTTTCCATGCTGTGGTCTACAGACCACGGTGGCCCATCTTGGCTGGACATGCAGTGCTGGCTCTCCTCCCCGTCTCCATCTGTTACACTACATTAGAGTCAGCTAAAAATATATAAGCATTCCAGAAGCACTTTTCCATATAAGCAACTGCCTCAGGAAGTTATACAATTGCAAATAGGAGGGGCTGCAATCTGCCAGACAATCTATTAAGATGTAGCTTGCCCTAGGAAAGCTCTGAGATGCTGTGGAGAATGCAAACTCCTACACAGGGCAAACATTACAACTTAGCCTTATCCACAGGTTCTTGGCATCACTTTATTCCCAACACTTAAGATTATCAAGTGGTCAGTTATGTAGCATTGTAATAAAAAAAAAAATCTGAGCAGTAGCAAATATACAGAGAAAGCTTCTTATCCATCACTGCAGTCAAAAGAAAATTAAGGACAGTGGAATTAACGCAACTCAGGATGATCCCGGAGGAGAAGTCCTGAATGTTATTTGAGCATCACCTTACACAGGGGCCCCAGCTCACTCTGCACTGCAGTGCCTATCACCTATGGGGAGAGCTATTCACTCAGTTCCTAAGGCCACAACAGTTGCTAGAAGTGGCTAAACACTGCCTAGGAAGCTTTATAAATATAGGCAGCTGGAGTCTCTCAAGGACTTCACATATAAAGGAATTTCATATTTCATTTATAAATTTTAGGGAAACATAAGATCATGTTTACAGCAGCAGATGATGTGACTCAATATGGCACATCACTCATGAACTGTCTCTGTAACTTCTCTTTCTAGAATCCCTTTTTTTTAAAAAAAAAAAATAAAAGCCTCTACTCTCCCCTAATTTAGCGCCTGAGTACTGGCAATAACATTCAAATCCAAAATATGCTCTAAAGCAACTCGATCCTGCAAACTGCTCAACACGTGCTTAGCCTTAAGTATGTAAGCCCATTAAAGGCCCTGAGACAAGCACTTGTGTTTAATTAAAGCTAACCACACTACTGCATAGTTTACAAGCCAGAATAATACTTAGCATCACGAAGACCAACACCAAGAACCCCCTCCCTGCCTTCCCAGTCCCAACACAGTACTGTACACACACACACTCACACTCACTCTTCCTGGGGCTCCCAACAAAAGTACAACTTTTTAATATTGCACTACTTCACAGTGAATAAATAGTTGGCTCAAAGTGACATAGAACATTTTCAAAAGACTGCAGGCAAACATCTGTATTAATGTTACGCATACAGAAGGTTAATACAACTTCAATATTTTTAAATTTCATTTTTTGTTCTTCCTGCTTCTTCGTTCATTTTTTTTCCTCATTTTAGTCCTCATTCTGCTTTTGTACATTGAAAACCAAGTCATTCTCAATCCCAGATTCTGCACTCTGCCACATCTGGGTTCTACATATTTCAACAGTGCAGAACTGTTCTCATTTATTTAAAATCAGGTGAATAAAAGGAATGAAATTTCCATAGAGTATATGTTTCATTCCATTAAGCCCTTTCAAAAAGTTCAATAGGGGGCTAAATTTAAACAGAGTGGAGAGGTGTAGTGGTCTTACAGGGATAACACTGGGGGGACACAGACAAAAGTGAACAAAAACTTCATAAAAACTGAAAAGACAAATTAATTATGATATAATAAACCTACAGGTCTTCTTGCCATGCTTCACTTTGCTCTTAGATTGGGTAACAGCAGCTGTAGCTACCCTGACTTCAATATGCAGCACTTGACAGAATATTTCACTTGACTGAACTTTAAAGAGTAGCTCATAAAATGTCATTTGTTTTCTTAACAGAGTAAGACACAATGCCTAGAGGGAAACAATAAAACACAAAAAGCAAGTGACTACTTACAACTGTGATTTGTTTGTGTTGGGTCCCGAATTGGCCATACTAAGAACACCACGTCCCGTGTGGGACAAATTAGGCTTAAATTCATCTTTGAAAGGTTTTCCCCAGTAAGATTCTCCTCCTTAAAAGAGAAAAGATGATAGAAGAAATGTTTGTTTTCCTTACTTTCACACTGCATTTTATAACAGGCACTGACATTAAATTCAAGGTTTCTGGCACTTCTCATCACTGTGTGTATAATATATTCTCACCTCATCCCTATCGCTGGGCTAGCATTTGAGCACGCCCTTGAAATCAGATGTTTCTAAGTGGCAACACAATTCTGTTCCCTCACACTATCAACTGCAGCAGACCACATAGTTTATCAACGGCATTATATACTGTGTGCTGAAGAACTGTCAAGGATTTTATTTTTCACTGCTGGTCCACCATAATTTTTCTTTTTTGAGACATTAAATCTTTAAAAGTGGCTTCCTGACAAAACACAAAGCAAAGAATTACTAGTTTAATTGCACTCTGGATATAGCATTGCTTCCGCAAATAAAATATCAGGGAGATGAAACACATTTATAGAATCAACTAAGAATAGGAGCTATAAGCTCAAATGCTTAATTCCTGGCTAAATAATGAAGAGTGACGATATATACTCCTCCAAAATAAAAGGCAAAGATTAGATATTTGGCCTAGATACCTGGATGATGTAAACACATTCGATGAAGTCAAAAGGTTGATAAAACTTTGCTTGAGCCACAGACCCAGCCCTCCAAAACTGATTTCTTTTCTGTGTCTGTGGATAGAAAACGGGTCTGGGAGACCTCTCCTCCTGGCCGTCATTTTTACATTATTTATGACAGATCTGACATTTTCATTTGCACTTTCCTCCAGGATCATTCTTAATAAGAAAAATGAAGGCTGAGATGAGTCATAGTTTTACAGTCAAATCCATAATCTTGTTTGACAAACCATGAAAAAATATTTCACCTTAGGATAGTATTAAAAATAAAACAAAACTACCCAAACAGGCAGAAAGACTGGTCCAGCTACAGAACTGGCTCAAGAATCCTCTAGAGTAACTGTATCACTTGTGAAGCAGGGGGTCAGTAAAGGATCTGCAGTGCTTAATGGCTATTTGCACATGTAATACAGAAAAGCAATTTGATGATGTGACTGCACAGGCAAGTAGCAAATAAAACTGAGGAATAAACAGTCTCCTACTGAAAACCTTATGCAGAAAAATCAGAGTGCATCAAATGAGAGAAGAGTTTCAGATGATACCATGAACACAAAGCATCACATGTGGACAGCTGCAAGTGCAAGTGGAACTAAGTAAGCAAGAAATTTTGGAAGAAACTGACCCACTTAAAAACCCAATTAATCATGTTCAAAAGACCTATTAATAGAGTAGAGTGTTGCCTGCTCTGCAATTTGACAAGAGGCAGCAAAAGGGGACAAACTCTGTAGGGATTTTCTGTAATCAGGAGTAGAGGAGTGATTACTTTAGCAATCTTTGGCTATTGAGTATTTTAAGATCAGCTAAATTACATCAGCTTGATTCCATATGCCAATCTCTTCCAGTAGTGGATGAAAGGGATATGGTACAGCTGCGGCCAGCTCTACTGCCTTGAAGACGGATCCAAACCGCAGCTATTCTAGCCAAATCCAAAGTGTCATCCTGTTAGAAAATGTCTTACCAAAGCCAGTAATTTTCTTTGCTAATCAATCTCCCTGTGTGTTCCTATTTTCTAAAAGAGGTTACTTGCGCAGTGCCTGCTACCTACCTTGTTCAGAAGAACAAAGTTCTTGTAGGTTAGTAAACAAACAAGTTACACTGGGAATATGGCAAGGATGCATGCTGACAGCTGCTGCCCGAAACCAGAAACACACCTGCACAGCCTGCAGACCCACTGCCCATCCACAGCACTACGCTTTGCGCACTATTTCTCTTTCCCTCTTTGCTTTTCAGTTTTCACTTTTCCACTTCAATCTGGCCTGGCAGGACAGCATCAGGATGGGCTCCCTGCCCACACTACCACGCTGCTGCGGTGCCATTGTTTCAGGCCCTGCATTTCTGTTGTCTGCCATGGCCGGACTAACAAACTTCACTTGGACTTCCCCTATAGAAATATGTAATTTTGCTTCAGAGGACCTCTTGAAGGAACTCCTAATTATTTGAAAAGCAGATGCACTTGCTATAAATCCTAACCTAGAGGAGTGTTTGCTGTCTAGAAATTTTCAGACGATACGCCAACATGAACACAGCCCACTGACGTGGTACACAGCAGTAAGTGGCCAAACCCTTGAGTCCATCACATCCTTCATATGCTTTCAGCTGATGCTGGAATTACAGCATTGTCAAGCTGCTGAAAGAGGGTGGAATGAACCCTGAAGCCTTTGCTGGTCAGAAAAATAATTCAAAAGGAAAGAGAAAAATTGTGAATGACAGAGAGACTCTCTCTTTCTGGCACAACAAGCAACCAGACCCAAGAACTTGCAGACAGGAGCAATGAGCCATGATCTTTAGATTTTGGAATATTTATTTTTGTATGATTTAATTTCAGATCATACACCGCAGGTCAGAATTAATGTCATATGTATGAAGGCTAACTGTGGTTCATTCCAGTTCTCTGGAAATAAGTGCTAATGTTTTAGTAGATAGTTACAGCATGAGATCCAGTCCCTGCCTCCCTGTCTGTCTGCCATACAGCTGTTTCCAAGGCTAATTCTGTCTGCCTGGGAGCTGCAGGCAAGAACAGAGAATGGCCTGTGCAGCATCTGCCTAAAAGGCCAGACGTCCTATAAAGGACATAGCTGAAGTGTCTGCAGAGCCCTGTCAGCACGGACTGGCATGGGGCAGTGGAGAGGCTGCAAAGGCAGCGAGACAGCAGTACAGGAACAGTTTGGGGTTTGTTGTTGCTTTTTTAAAGAAAAAAAACCCCAATTTTTTAATTTAAGAATACTTTAAAAACCAAACCAAACGCAAAAGTATTCTCCTTAAATTAAAAATAGCCTGAATGTGCTGTTTTTCAAACTCCTGCTAACCTCTGGAATTGTTCCAGGCTTCAAGTATCTGCTTGAAGCAGGACCAGACAGAGCAAGCCAGAAGATGGTGAGTTAAATGTATACATTTTTTAATTACTGAAAACCAGAATCATCATCTCTCTGAAGATTAAGTACAGATCCCTCATTAGTCTAATGCCATGACAGCACAATGCTCAGCCAGGGGGGTCTGGAACAGGGATTTTAGAGTCTTACATTTCACTCTCTATGTAAAGCTCAATGTAAACTTGGAAAAGTAACTGACAGGCTCCAAACCTGCCACCAATAATTAGGAGGCCTTTGGAAGTACCTAGCAGATTTTACTGTGTTTATTCTCAACATGGTTGGGAGGTGTGGCTGTGCCATCTTCCTCGTTTTCTGAAAGCAGAATGGGCGCAGACAGACGGAGGAGGTGGGACCGTTGCAGTGTCTAGCTCTAGCTCTCTCATGTTACACTCCCAGCACATGGCATAGAGAGGAGACTCCTCCTTATATTCCCCAAATCTTCCTCTGAGAGCACACAGATCAGCGCTGACTATATATGGAGTCACAATGATGCAAAAACCTCACCCCGAAGCTGATGTACCAGCCTACAAGCAAAGCTCACGGAAAATGCGCAGTGGGCAGCACTGCCTGTCACTTCACCTTCCTCTCAGCTTACTCCTTGATAAGATTATCTTCTCTCACAGTGGAGCTATGTGCCTACTGGACTTGCAAATGTTTCTGAGATCCTACTACAAAAAGAGCTGGAAAAAAATTCTGGGGGCTTCTGTGCTAAAACTCACGTGGGTGCTGCCGCTGGCTGGACTGGTGCTGGGAGTGTGAAAAGGAGCAGTACTCACAACCCTGCATATGGGGGTCTCCTGTTTGCACAAAGCTGGGACCGGCCACAGAAACACACTGGTCTTCCAACAGCATTTAACATGTACAACGTCAAAGCCTTCAGAAGCCAGAATGAATTTTGCACAATTCCGTAAAAATAAAAATCACATGCCTATCCAGTCGCCCAAGATTCAAAGCTGAAGGCTGCTGGAAGCCACCTCCCTACATTTTTGATAAAAGAGAAACATTCTCTTAAAACTAAATAGGTGTTTAGCTAATTCTTACACAGAGATGAAACTAAATAGCTCATCGAAAAAATCAGACTGTAATCATAATTTCCATGGCTATCCAGAGTGGCAAGATATATTTAGCTTGTGACTGAAGCACAGTTAGTTATTCAGTCTCGTATCTGCATCTTGTGCTGATAATGTAAAGGTGACTAGATCTAAACTGACACCTCCAACAATCACACATTAGCAACTATAGAGAAAAAACCCCACATTTTCAGATTGTCTTTTGAGCTAAACCAGCTTACTCTCTGGTAGTCTATGTTCCTTCTAAAGGCATTTTTTTCAGAAAGTAATTTTTTGGGTAAAATTACAGAAGTTGTACAACTTTCTTGCAAAGAGCTGAAAGAGGCACCTAAAGCTTCAGAAATGTAGCATTCCAAAAGCCAGGTGTGGGTTGGGAATTATCATTCATGACAGTTGTGATTTTAAATAAATCCTTACTTTTTCTGGCATAAAAATTGCTAAGCAGTGGTAAGGAAGTGGGACGGCTTTGATTCACAAAAATGATGGCTTACTTTCTGTAATTTTCTTCTTGTCATTTGGAACAACGAGGTACATAATAACATCTGACACTTCTGTGGAGCTTTCCAAGTGAGATTCTTAAATCATTTTGCAAATATGAAAGCCTTAGCTCAGCCAGTAAGTGCTTCTCTCCCTTCAGATAAAAGGACACAGTACTCTTAACCCCACATACCAGAGGGCGGATTTTCAGAGGGGCTGCAATCTAAAAGGACTATATTGCTAGATAAAAAGGTCTTGCTCTTGTCCTTTTGCTGAGCCTCAATCATGCAAGGAAAGGGGCTCAAAAACTGGTTACATTTTAGGAACTTGCCTTGTTAGGAAATCACATTGCAGAACTGACCATGTTTGTCCACAGTCCCTTTGCTATTGACAGTTCAGAGGGAAAAAAAAAAGTGCTTCACTCTGCCATCCAAAATGTAATTCCCAACTACCAGTGGTATTTTATCTTGGACTTTTACAGCTATTATATGCCACCTTTGTGCCCTCCTGCATTCCTAAATGGACAGAGGCACAAACAAGTTGATTCATGAGACCCTCCAACAGGTTGCAAGTAAGAACAGCTGAAAAATGCCTGTGCTGCTTTGAAAATGTGCTTTGCATATAGTTTTCCCTTTTTCACACATAATATCCTAAAAAAGGGCTTAGGATATTAAATCTATTTTTCCTACATGCAAATTTTCTTCTATTATTTGGAACACTGAAAATACAGAGCAGCTGCTCCGCTTGCACTAGCATGAGTTAGACAGAATTATTCACAATGTTCAACCACTTAGTTGTTATGAACAGCAGGAAAAGAGATACATCACAAATCTAAAATTCATTTTCAAATAATTAATCATTACAAAGAATGACCATGACTCAGCTTATTGCTCTGAATACTGCCTCTATAGGTGGTTATTTTGTTAGAAAAGAAATAAGCTGCTGCAGCACAATAAAATTTCTCCCAGTAGTCTTATGAAACATTAAGTTGAAGGCCATAGAAAATCAGTTTGGTCCCCTAAATCAGTGTCAGCCTTACAGGACTATATATCTAACTGCTTTGGCAATGCAGGTCTGCCAGCTAAGCTAAGGTAAAACTCTATCCCCCCCTCTTTGAGTGTGGTATCTCAACTTCTAGGTGCCATAATGCTAATTTCCACCCTCTTCCATCTCAAGGTTAAATGCTTAACACCAGGATTCAGTTGTCCTTCATGTGTCTGCTGGGTCACAGTTACTTTTATGACAGCCTAACAAGAGACTCAAAAAGGACACATTGGGATGCTGCATAACAAACAGGAAATAAGGAATAGCGCTGCTTACAGATAAGACTGTTCAGCCAGAGCAGCCGTGGAAGCGGACAGTCAGTGACAACCACTTGGCATTTCACATCTGTGAAATGTTTCCAAAACACAAGCACACTTATCTAGGTGAGCAGAGAGCACAGCTGCAGTCTATGTATGTATGGCATGTAACCTTGTGGCGTATTGCGCTCAATGTGCCCAAATCCACCGTGAAGCCAAACAGTCCTGGGCTTAGTTAGCAATGGAGTGGGTGATCATCTAAGCATTTGGGTGTTGCAACCATAACCCTGACACCTGTTGCTGAACATGGGATGAACATCAGATGACAGAAATAAAACGGTGGGAAGATTTTTGAACAAGTCTGTTCTAGTTCCTGAGCTGATGAGCAGGAATAATTAAATAAATATAACAAAACAAAAATATATACAGGCTTAATGCACCTTCCACATACCAGTTTGGAAAATATGGTTTTGTTTTGTATTTTAAACAAACAAAAGAAAACCAGACAAATAAAACCCCATCCCAAACCTCTTAGCCATAAAATTTCAGATAAAGCAGAAAATTCTATGTAGAAGAGGAAACAAAGGATGTTCTTTTTTTCCGAAGTCTTCCTACAAAAGGCTCCAACAGAAACAACTCTGTCAGTTTAAAATATTGATGTTTAAAAGGTCACCTACAAACAGTCTTCCCTATTGCCAACTGGAATATCTGGGAAGAAAGTCCTGTTCTACTCTCACATACTTCTCTGTTATTACAGAAGTCAAGTGATTTACTCCCTCAGTAAACCTCTAAGACCATTAAATCTTATGGACTTTTTAAGCTTTCAAAGATGCCCCTCTGTTTTTTTTCTAAGAAGCAGTGAGTCAAAGAAATACTGAAATTCCAGCTGTCAGAAGAAATAAAAAAGGGAATTTATACTGCAAATAACATACAAGACCCAGGTAAAAAAGGCACAAAGTACTGAATCCCACTGCTTTACTCCAAAGCTTTCCTAATATGAATACCTGTGATCACATTAGTAACGTGCAAACCAACAGACCAAAATTTTTACAGCACGGGAGCCTAGGAGAGCACCACTACATTTGCCATGTTCTTACACTGCTGCCGAGCTGTACCTTCCTCTGGCTGTGCTGTTCCAGAGAGAACATAAAGCCAGACAGGCACCTTACGTCTGGCTACCTCCTGGCTCAAGATACTCAAGTGAAATTTCTGCCTCACATTCAAGTGTCCAGGATCTATCATGTAGTGAGGAACAAATCCTGACAGACTACTTGCACTCTGCGAACTGTCTAAGCACCTTCATTTAAGCAAGTATTAAACACAAAGGCATGACAGTTCAAGAGAAATCTAGTAGCCCATCAGACTGTCCATATACAACATTTTCTTGTGACATTATCATATTTAATAAGTGATTAAGTAAGGATATCTAAAATTCAGCTGTCTTCAAAAAATAAAAACCATTCAGTTGCAAAGAAGATAGTCGCATCATTTGGACTCTACAATAACTGCAAACAGCCTCTAAAATCTGCAACACTCATATCTATTTGAGTGTACATTGTTCATTTTATTAGAACTTTAATAGTCTTGACAGATATTTGCAAGACATCTCACCTGCAATATATTCATATTTAATTAAGAATGACAAGGAGGAAAACAAGACTGAAAAGACTCTAGAGGTCATCAGACTCCTTTTTTTAAATAAAAGAATATACATGGGAGGTTTTTTCTCCTATGGGCTTATCTGCATTTTACTTCCTACTTGCTTTGCCAGTAGAGCCGAGTCTTGACCTTCAATGTAGCTGCACTGCCAGTCCTAACTGTTAGTAGTGCTGTCTTACAATACTTCTACCATTTGCACAAATAGAGACAAGAATGACACTAGCAAGTTAATTTCTATTCCACAGCAGGATCTGAACTCCACCCTACAAGGGTGAAAGGTGTCTGAGTCAACCCATTAAATTTCTCCCATCTCCTGACACCTCTTTAATTTCTCATTTTAAAAGATGTTCCTAATTATGTCTTTTGGGATTTGAACTGAAATCTTCCTTATAACAAAATCAAATCACATTTCTTTTGACAGTCCAAGCATATAAGGTAACAGATCTTGTTAATGGGCTTTTGCCATCAAAACACAGAACCTTTAACTAGTCTCAAATCTTGAGAGTATGCAACTGTTGATTATTGCATGCAGTAGATGAAAAGTTGTTGGGCAACTCACACTAACATTACTTACAAAGTAAATACAGCTAAAGTATTTAACAACTACAAAGACATCTTTTTTTGGATGACCTGTGAGCACACAGAGATGAATACAGTGCTTGCATATACAAGTGACTCATGTATGAACCAGAATAGAAATGCACAGAACCCCACAGGTGAGGAGCTGTGGAGGCTGGTGACATCTACAAGTGGATAGATAAAAGGTGCAAGTGGGAAATGAGCAAATTTACAGCAGCAACTAGAGATATTACATGACCTATCTACTGTGGTGGGCAATGCTCTGAGGGCCCTTCAGCTGCTCTATCTCCTGACTATTTCCGATATGACTGTCATGCAGAACTCCAACTAAGGGAGAAAGACAGGCAGAAGTATTTAGTAACAGTGATCCCTAAAAGTTAGAAAAAGAGCAGCTTGGGCTTTACAAGGCAACTAGCTGGGAGAACAGATGGTATTTGGCCATCTACCAATTTCAAGGCAGGTCTCAAGTATTTAATTAACGCTGAATTTTAAAGCAACTTTGTGTGAACGTGTTTCTTCCTTTGTTCTTTGCCCTGGAAGGCCAGCTGTAAAATCATTATAATTTTAATTTATTTATTTTCTGGAAAAAAAAGGAAGCAAAGACCCAACAAAAATTCTGCATGGAAGAGTGCCCGCCCAAGTTTTAGATGAAGAATATACCAGATGAAATTTTGATCATACTTAAAATTGTCATAAAAATATAGTGATAAAAATTCTGCTTTAAAATAGAAATACTCACAATGTAGCACATATAATCATTTAGAGAATTTTAATCTACAAGCTGTCTGGAAATAAAGGTAACAACACAGCGTATGAAGTGAAAACAGTTTACTTGATTCAAACTCAACCTTACCTGTTCCTGTTCCAGTTGGATCACCTCCTTGGATCTGCAGAATTAAAATTAAATCAATAGGTTACATATATATCTATGTGAAAGACATTAAATACAAGCCATAAAAGCCAATTCTGCCCAATTTTCCTTTATATTGTGTCATGTTGACAGGTTAACAACAAGGAAACCATTACTACTTATTTGGAGCTTCTTTTATGAGCTGGCTGTCATCTCCTACATTACTTATCTGAGAGCAGACTGACAGTTTTATAAAAATAATAGTCTCTTGCAGGTAAATAGGGAAAATATGCAGTCTCAAATGGGTTAACTAGATCATCCTTTCTATTATGTGCTGAGTCATAACCTGCATTGTAACTGATGACGCATTCATTTTGGAACTGAAAAGGCTTTGCATTTTGCTATCAGTCCTCCACCGATGGGAAGGCAAGAAATGAGGGAATATGGAATATTTTCTGTATCTGAATTTCCTCGCATCCCCCTCACTATCTGCAGTAGGGAAAATCCTCACATGAAACCAATCTTTCAGCAACAAAATAAATCACTGTATATATTCAGGATCTACAGAAATAATATTCTATATTCTAATGCCAGTAGAGGGAGCGTGACATGACTAGTTTCACAATAATAGCACACAAGCACAATTTTAATTGTGAGTTTAACTATGAACTGATATACAGTGCTGTCAAAAGAAAAAAAGCTTTTTACAGGACGTCAGGATGGAATGTAACATTCAGTGATGTCCCCTGAAAGATGTGCTCTGCCTTCCGGATCAGGCTGTTAATTCTTCTGAAAGAAGTCACAGGACAGCTACAATATCCTAAGCTGCCTGGTCCGCATCTATGTAAATACAGATCTTTGACTACGCAAGTCTGGTTTTCTGGTTCACTAGGTGCTCTTTAACTCCTTCACAATGAAAGCCTGGGCACCTAGTCCCTAAGCACACTCAAGACAGGATGATCTGACAGGATCCAAGTACCACAACCTGAAACAGAAATTCACCTGCTTTCTAAGTTTAATCTGAATGGGATTTCAACAGGCCACTGTATTACTTATCCAAATTAGCATTCCTCCCTGCCCCCTCCCTTCTGTTCATTAACCACCCACCCACAGCTTGGGGAAGATAACAAGAGCATTGCCAAGGCAATGGCTCTCAAAGGCTTTGTCTGGAACACCAGCAAAAGCATTACTAAATGCAGTCATGCTCCGAGTGACAATATTAGTCAGAGACAGTTGTTAGTAAGACTATTAAGTACAAATTTAGTAAGTTAGGACAATCCTAGTTCTGATGGTATATTTAATATACAGCTATTGCAAGTTATGTAGTTATTGCAAGTCATGTACGGAAGAAATTAAAACCGAATTAAGCTACATAAGTATTTTGAGGACATCACACGTTGTGCATTACACAGCATTTGTTCAAGACTCACCACAAAATTACGAATTGATCTGTGAAAAATTGTGCCATCATAATAGTTCTTCTTGCACAATTTGATAAAGTTTTCACATGTTCGTGGTGTCTGAAAGACAAAACATAAGTTGTAATTAATACCTTTGGACAACCAAATTGGATGTTACACTGTTTACAAGAATCACTTTTCATTTGTGCTTTACAAAGAAACAGTCATGAAGGACTTGAAGAGGAATGAGTGTCTGTCTACAGAAAAAAAAAATAATGCTTTTTAAAAATATACTGGAGAGACACACACAGTGCAAATAAATTAAACCCAGACCTTCCAATTAGCTCAAAGAAGTGTTGAACCCTAGCTCAGATAATGTGAGCTCCCAGTAGACATAATGATAGTGAAAGCAGGTAACCTCAGAGACTTTCAAGTAACTTAGTTCCAGCAGTGTATCATAATCCTGTTCCAAAGGGGGCCTTCTAGCACGGAAAAGGGTTAATTTCCCAGCGTAAGAAAGAATGTGACCTCTCTGGTCCACTATTTCAAAGTAAGCACATTGAAGATAACAGGGAAAGAAGCATTTGGTCCTTTTCACCACTGGGAACTAAAAATGGGACTGACCCCACATGTCACTGGACCATAAGAAAAGTAAAAAAGACAACTTGTTTTCAAAAATCTGAAAGAAAAAAAAAAAAAGCTAAATATATTGACAACTTCTAATTTGCTTTTACAGTGCAAATTAAAGCTATTTATTTGAATTTATGAGCCATGGCATTCAAAGAGACCTTCTGAAAAACTTCACTGTCTACCTAATTATCCTTTCACTGTAATTGTATAGATTCTTTTCTCTGCAATACTAAAATACCTTCAGATGTACAAATACAAGTACAGAAACAGCCCATTTTCTACACCTGGACATGTTTTCCAGCCCCACTGTGGATTATGTGCATAAATATATTCCAGTTTTACAAAAGAACACATCTAACTAATCTGAGTTGTTACAGGCCTTGAAAATATCCTTATTGTTGTATGTGCTTGCAAGTAAAGCCCCAGCACGAGTTGCAGTTCTGTAAATGAACACACACAAGACTTGAAGCCTCTTTCTGAAAGACACTGATTCACTTTGCATGGGTATGACATCATTCTTGGTCTGAGGGCTGCAGAGACAGAGTGGGACTGAGCCACGCAACCTGAAGTGACTTAAAGCAAAAAAATAAGGCGAGTCCGCTTACAGTCGTTTAAGGATGAAATCATCTCTTTTTAAAAACAGATCCATAAAAGTATTCATCCAGAACCATACAGAACTTGTATTTTCTATATTTTCCCATCTGAAGCACAATTATTCTCACCCTTCTTTATTGACACTGAAATGTCTCTTAATTATCCAAACAAACTCTATATGCCATTATAAATTCTTTATAATGATTTCTTCTAAATTACTCTACACAGATATAGACGACAGTTGTCAGCTGGGCCATAACTGGAAAAATAAACACATTCTAACGCAATTTTACACCAGCTATTATCTCTCCTATGTAATTTATTACTGGGTTAAAATGGTAATGGTACCACAATGGGTTTATGGTAGAATGCCACTAGGACATGTATTTTGGTAGCATCCTGAGGGCAACTTGTAAGTAAACATATTCATTAAAAACTCTTTCAAGCAAAAGGAGCTTCTCCTACAGTTTCAATGTTTACATCAAATTTGAAAATTTTTCTTTGAATTGGACATGTATACTTGAAAATAATCTTTGTACCTAACCTTTCAAGTAAAATTCAGCTCCTGAAGAATCACTTGTGCAGTGTACGTGTCCTTTATAAGACAATACCCTAACAGCTTTGATCCTAATGCAATTTGTTACCACTCACAAAAAATCAGTAAGGATAAAAATAAGTTTAAAAAACTTCTTTATGAATCAGAAATGGAATCAGCGGCTTCTAGCCTAAGGCACTTTATCCCAAGAGAACCAAGCACTCTTTGGAGAGAAAGACATAGTTAATAAGTTCTCGGGGGGGAATACAGCAACCTGTAATTAATTTTTTAAGAAAAATGAAATCAGGCAAAAGACTGAGTCCCCTAGGAATACGTAGCAAACTGTTTTAAAATTTGCACAGAGTTGATAACCCAATACAGATTTCCTATTTATTCTAAAAACACAATTTGTAAAATATACATCAAAAAACCTGGCTCTAGTAATGTATTTTTTATGCAGGACCTATGCTGACCTTCCTCTCTAAATGGATTTCTAGTTATTGTACCTTTTCCCAGAAACAAGCTTTTCAAATGCAACTGCAGAAATATTTAGTACACATTTCACGGCAAGATTTTCTTTAAATAATTGCCACCAAATTGGTTCCCATGGTCACTTCATGCATCATACAGATACATTTGGCAGGTAAACAGTTCCTTAGCAACATTACCATTACCTATTATGGTGCTTTTTAGTAGACATAAATAAAAAGGTTTGCATTCAATCAGTAACAAATCCCAGTTTCAGTCATGCAGTTGATCTAGAATAACTGGCTCAGATTATATGATTTATTCAAAGCAGGTCATGTTCTTGCCAAATCTCACACTGCCAAGCACATTTCAGGGACTTTTTTAAGCAGCATCTTGTCCAAAGCAGGAGAAAAAGGCTTGAGGTTTATGGGGAAGGTGTAGAGCCTCAGTAATGAAGTTACGTTCTGCATTGACCATACAAACAAGGCCAGTCTTTGAAGTCTTTGTTCCAACTACAAAGACTAATGAGAAATATATATAAACAAACCTGACTTTGTTATTTGAGTGCATGATCTTGTGGAAGATGTCAGACTCACCGTCTTGGAATGCAAAACTCTACTTCTTAAGAAACTTCCTCCACATCACTTGCCTCACACCCTTTCTGAAGGAGGAGGGGATGGTCAAGACACCTGGAAATGCAGAAGTGCAGAAGGCAACACCGGTTTCTTGTTGCCTCATTATTGACAATGGGCTCCAGGCTCTCTTTCTACTTCTGGCTGTTCTTGTTTCAAACAGACCTCAACAGCAGCAGCTAACTTTTCCCTCTTTATTCCTTTTACATTAAGCAGGAAATTATTCAAATTATTTTAATCTGCTGACTATGACTTAGACTTATATGTAAGAAAGTCAAGGAAAAAATGCCACCCTAATTTGTTAACCTGTTGATCTGAAAGTCAATGACAGAAAAAAAGGTTATGTTTTAAATTTACTGCAATATCTTCTCAGAAAGATGCAGTGACAGTCCTAAGAAGTCAAATTTAAGAATTGTGGAAGGCTTTTCTCTCTGAAGACTGTGGTAGGACAGCCCTGAGGAATCTGGGACCATGTAAGTGAATGCAGTGTCTCTGTATGATGCCCTTCAACTTAAAGGCCTTCTCTTTCCAAATGACAAACAGTAAGAAAAAAAAAGCCTTATTTATATGAAAAATGAGTCTCCTGCACCAACTGTGCTCCCTATTTATTTTGTAGATGCCAGATAACTGTCTTTCAGCTGTTGAAAACTCACACTCAAGACAAGTGGTAAAATTTTAATAAACAGTTTGAGACAGGAATCCAGAAGAATACTTATCCCAGAAGATGACATAAATGCTTTGCTTGGCTCATGGACATGTATATTTAATGGGGCAACAGGCCAACAGTTTTCTAATTATGTTTAAGTCTCCATTTAGCTAACACACTTAGTAGGTAACTCTACATTGAAATACCAGCACTCTACCAGTTATTAGGCCCAGATAAATTTCAGAATTATAGAGATTGCTACTCAGAATGACCACGCCAACACAACAGTTACAAGAGACTGACTGTGAAACCATGGATACTGGGAAAACACTGAAGAAAGGAATACACAATTTAGAAAACCAAAGCAAAACAGAAAAAAAAAAATCACTCCTAACTATAAAGGTCTAAAAGAAATGCAGATTTTCTCTTCTTCCATTTTTAAGTATTAACTGAGCCATTTTAATTTCCTATTTGCCAGCAAGGGTGGCTCCAAACCAGGCAAAATTCATCTCTCTTGCTGCATCCCAAGACCTGAGGGGTAAGACTAATCAAGCCAGGTCACTACCTGATTTATCAGTTTGCAGCCCTCCTTTCTCATCAATTAAAATGGGTCATTACATTTGTAAAAGTTACCTTAACTCAGAATGTGTATTGGCCAGCTGAAGAGCCAACCAGAAGTAGATTAAAAACCTGCGGCACTCCTGTTGCCAAGGTACAGGAGATGGGAAAAGAGAGGAGCATCTGAGTCGTTGCCATGACTGCAAGGAAGAAGGCTTTACTATGTGAAGAGCTAATCATTTCAAAATGCTCCATCCCTTGAGGATCTGCATGAACCTTGAAGAGAAATTTCACACTAAGCATTCAGAAGCTGTCATTCGCACGTCTGCATAATTTCCTTGTGCTAATTCCACTTCCCTTTTATTTCTTTTTGTCTCTCTAAATTGGATGAACTGTAGTAGTTGCACTAAACCGCACAGCTTTGATATATGGTCATTAACCCTATGTTTCAAAGCAGAAATAATCTGAAATAATGAAAAGCTCATTCCTCACAAATTAAAATTGCATTCTACAGCCTTCATCTTATCACACAAATGCCAGAATCCCACTACTAAGAGGCATGAACTAGTGATAGAAATTTCTAAAGCTTCAAACGAAGCCTGCAATTTTTTAAACATAGATCTCCTTTAAAATGCAAGGTGGATTTTGTTTTGCTTTAGCCCATTTACGTACTACTTTCTTTTTTTTTTTTACATAAGAGTATTTTCACTCTTGTAATTGTTCATTCTAGCAACTCTTCTAATGCATGAGCACATAAAGAGGTGATTTGGTACGGTTTAAACTCAGTCTTCCCCATCCCTTTCAATCTTCAATCCTCACAGCCTACCCATCCCACAGGAAATAAGGCACCCTGATAAAAGCTTGGCTTTATTTAGGGCTTAGTCAGAAGCCACTGTAATGGAGCAGCTTGAAGAATCACCATCTATCAGGTGCAAGTGTCTGCTCCCTCCACTAAGTCATGGAAAGAAAATGGACATATAAATGTTTCTAGCGTGTTACAATGCATAACACTGTACTGGAAGGCAATTTAAGCTACCCTGCTTCACTTTGCACCAAT